GAGAGAGAGAGAGAGGAGGGACATAGAAATTATTGGAATCTTATTAACGTTGTTTTGTTGTAATTATTAATCGAAATAAGAAGGGAAATGCACAAGGAGGATAATACAAAATTGCTTTGAATTATTGAAATTACCCCGCGCAACGTGACACGGTGTTTCTTTCTCGAGAGAAGCAAGCAGCTCTTCCTTTATCTCTCGTTTGTTGCGAAATATCGACGAGTGGGTCAATCGGACGGGCTCGAGAGATCCAACAATATAATCGAGCACAATTACTTTTTTTTTTTCTTCTTCTCTTCTTTCTTCGAAAAATTGGAAAATGCGAAATTTCACATTTTTTTCGATGCAGCGCAATCGAATGGCTCGTCGCCGACAGTGTAACGTTGTGAATGGCAACAGAACGTTGAAAGTGTTAACCTCTTAACTGTTCCAATGCTCGAAATCGGTGGAGCAGATGTGCGCGTCCCATGCGATTTTGAAGAGATATTTCCGGCAATATGCCCTCCAACATGCGTGTTTCCATCGGTGATTTTCAAAAGTTTTTAATAGTTGAAGTCACTTGGATTAGTTTAATAATTGGAAATAATGATAATAACAATCGCAAATAATTGTAAAAATAATTGGCAAAATTATGCAAGAAACGGATTATAAAGAATAAACGTTATTCTTTGTCTCTTTGCTGGAAATTTTTAACTAGTTATTTTTTCAACGGATTAATTTTTCCAACTCTGGCTTTCACAGCGCGTGGAAAGAGACTGCGTAAAACTGTCCTCGAGGCCGAATCGGATTGAAATCGATTGTCGGCGTATCCCTTCGCGAGAAAAGTCTCCTGTATTTCTCTCCTTAAGCTTGGAAATCTTCTTTCCTTTCGTTCCAAGCTTCTCGAAATGCTTTGCCTGGAACAGGGTTGGGGAGAATTTAAAGTTTCTTCGATAAGTTTCTTTAATTTATTATTCGAAAATAGTAATAATAATCGGAATTGTAATGGCAAACTTCGAGCTCGAAAATTAATTACAATAGCTAGAAATAAATGTTATTCTAACAAGTAATTATTTGAAGTAACTTTTCGATTAGTTACTTTTTCAACTTGGATTGAAATGGCCGCCTAGAATGAGAACGTACGTTACGAATTTGTGTGAAGATAAACAAAAAAAAAAAGGAGAAAAATTTGTTGAGAAATTTGATCGAAGACGATTTCGATTTTACGTTAACAATCGATCGATAATAATTCTCTCGGGTTAAAAGAGAGACCGAGTCTCGCTTTTGCTAATCGAGTTTAGCGATGTCGAGCTAACCGCGTGTACCTTTCGTATAAATATATTGCGAAATTCGAATTTCTTTCGCAGAATTTCAGATATAACGTGAAAATCGGATTACCCAGTCCGGATATAGAGTTCTCATCCTCATTTTCCTTTCGAACGACGTAATTTTAAAACCGTTAGTTTTCGTATCTCGAGCCGTGTGACACGAGCAGCGTTTGCTGGAACAGTAGTTCCGATTTCCTCCGCGTGGATAAAAACGATCGACGCTCCGTCTGGAAGAGGAGCAGAGAACTATCGTTATTTGCCGACGACACGCGATTTTTTCGATGGAAAGAGCGATTTAAAGCGAATGAATCGATACAGTGTGCAACCTACTTGAGAGATTTCTTTACGTTCTTACCTTTGTACGAAACGTACGTTCCGCTTCCTCGAAGAATAAAGTTGAGAACGAGGTCGAAGGGAGGATAGAATTTGAATAATGTATCGGATTGAATTCGCATTTCAATTGGTTGATTCGCCACCAAGTGTAAACAAACGTATGCACGGTTGGATCTTGGATAAAGGTATAACGTAATTCCTTTTCTTTTTTTTTTTCCAGAAATTTGTCGAGATCGAATTAAAGAGAAAATTGTACGTAAATTGATTCCTATATAAATTTCATTGAACGATATTCAATTGAAGTGAACGAAAATGACTTCGCGTTACCTCTATTGGTCGCGTAAAGGTTATCGAGTTGAAAAAGTAACTAGTTAAAAATTTCGAATGAGAATTAATTATTTATTAAAATGCTTATAATTATAATTTCAAACCTTTTTGCATTACAATTATTATTATATTTTGAACGATAAATTATCGAAGTAAATTTATTCCGTAACTTCAACTATATTAAATTTTCCCCAACGCTGGTTACACCATTTCAACAATGCGGCGTAAAAAAAAAAAAAAAGGAGACGAAATATGAAAAAATGTTTACACATATTATTAATTTCTTCCAAATTTTCTTTGCTCGTTTGAAGTATCGCGTTGCTACAACTATCCGTATAGGTGTCCATAAATTTAGACGTGAAATGTTAATCCAAGATAAACGAAAAGAAAATTAGATCGTGCGTGATGGCCGAGGGCGAGCAGCGGCAGCTGCTGCCAGATGGTTGTTTCGAAGGATCCTCGTAGGAGGGGGCGTCGAATTAGGCGATCTTCACGACTTTTTCCAGAATGTCTAGTCGATCGTCCATCTGCTCCTCGCCGTTAATCTCTGAACCTTCATCTTCTTCGACGATAACGAATGATACATCGTGTCGATCATTTTTACGTAGTTTTCGTGAAATGTAACCACGAAATCTAAAAGAAAAAAAAAAAAAGAAAAGGAACGTTGTTACAATATCAATCTTCTCACATGATTATATATATATATATATGTTTTTCAGGAGACAACAGCTCGAGCAATCCGTGTATTGCGAGGCTGAGTCCCGGCGTAGCGCTTCCGAGGACGAGAGACAAGATGTTCAACCGGGTGGCAATCAACAGGAGAAGATCAAGGTGAGAACTGAAATTTTGATAAACTCGATGAGTCTAATGAATAAAATCTGCTCTTCGGTTGCAGAGTACCACGCAAGATTTATTCGAATTGTTGGAAAGAGTGCAGTGTTCGCGTCTCGATGATCAGCGATGCGTTCTACCGCCCTACTTCTCCCAGGTAAAGCACACGTTTAACAATGCTCGTTTCACGCGTTCTCTGTTTCGTTTATTAAATCTTGTATTGCCAAGATATTTATATATCCCCAATATGTTTCGATTTTTAATATTTTGTAATTTATTATTTTATCCAGAATCTCGTTAACAGAAACTGTGTGTGTGAATGAAAATTGTTTGTTAGTTTGATCTTGTCTTAAGAGACACGAATTAACGATACCACCCGTATATATCACCCGTATATGCTTCGTAGATCTGTATCACTCCTTTAATAATAATTCATCGTCTTCGTCACAAATTCTTTGTGGGGAAGGAAAAAAATCGATGAGGATGGCGGTATTAATTTAAACGAGGGCGGGAATAATTTTGAAAATCGTGTGTTCCAATTTATTATCGATCGATGGTTTTTTCTCTTTTGGTACGTTAACGATATACGTTAATGGAATATCTCTCGAATTTAACGTATTTAATTAGATAAACAAGTTCATTTTCGATGAGTGTTAATAAACGAATGCGTTGACGCATTAATTGAAATTAATCTAACGGGAGATAATCGATAATATCCATGACACGTTGCATAGTTATATTTGGAAACACGTAGCGCGTCTATCTCTATCTCGATGGATATCAGCTGTCGTCGCGAATTAATTAGAAATAATCGCATACGATGGAATTGGAACGAAAATATCTCGTAGAACGATACATGACGTCGTTCTGTATTTGTGTATTTGGTATAGTACAATAATATATATATATATCTCTTTCTCTGGCAAAGAAGAAAGAATAAAGAAAGGAAAGAAAATAAAGATAATTGGCGAGATGTGTGTGTGTGTGTATATATATATATATCTTTCTGTGGCAACTAAAGAAAGAATAAAAAAAGGAAAGAAAAATAAAGATAACCGGCAGCGAGTTATATATATATATTTCTGTAGCGAATAAAGAAAGAGTGAAAAAAAGAGATAAACTGTGGCGAGGTGTTTGGCAGGAGGCCCGAGTAGTTAAGACTCCATTGTGATTGAAAAATTCTATACGTATGCAGAATCAGTTCCGCGAGCTTACTTCTGTCTGGCTAGTAGTATCCACGTGCAACCGGAATCACAATCTGTCTGCTGCGAATCACTCGAAGATAAATGAACGTCATCATCATCCATGGTACGGGTAGCAAAAAGTTACAGGACGAATCGTTTGGTCACGCGCTGCTTGAATTTCAATCAGGATTGTTTTCTCTCCTCTCTCTTTTTTTCTTTTTTTTTTTTTTTTATTCTGCCCGCCCAGAATATCTGTAAAATATTCAGTCTGTAGCTTTCGAAGAGTGGATTTCGCCAGTCACGTATTGGACCGAGAGGGAGGGGAAGATTCGTACGATTGAAAATGATCGTGGGGATGATTCGAGTGTTAATTTTCGGTGTTTCGGCGGTAAAGTTTAACGATATTTCTTTGTTCGACGTCGATGACCAACGGTCGGAATGAATTTAGGAAAGTAGGGGTTTGGTAAACTTTTGGTACAACGCGACGATATAATGACGAGGCGAGGAGAATCGTTTACGATTAAGAGTTGTTGACGTGTGAGTCTGAGAAAAATGAGGAGGGGATCTTTTTTTCTTACTACGCGACGAAAACTTTTGACAGAAAAGATTAAACGATTATCTTTTATAAAATGGAATCGATGATATCTGGATAATAAAATTGGCAATATAAGATTATATATATCTATTCTTTATTTATTCTCGATTAATTATTTAAACGTTAGGAGAAGATTCTATTTGTGGAAGATGATTTAAAAAATGAAAACAGCAAGTAAATACATCCTATCTGCTTTTTTGCGATCTTTCTCCACGTGGTATCCAAATGTACGTTAAACATATGTATAACACGTGTAACAGTAAGAATACCGTGAGAAACTTAGATTTGCAAGTATTATCTCTTAAGTTTAAAAGAAAAATCTATTAGATCGACCGACATTTTGCTATGAATCGATACAACAGTTTTCTTCCGTGTAGAGAGAAGGGACACGATAGATACGTACGAGAGGCAAAGGTAACTTACCGACAGTCAATACGATTTGGTCGGTTAGTATGAAATCTTCTTTGCTTGCTGTGACTCCACTCCCGTTTTTACCGTTTGAAATCTATTTTACGTTCCAAAGTAAAACTCGTGCAACATTTCATTTGAGATAGCGACTACAAATAATTCAAATATACTTCGATAAAATTAATTAACTTTTTAACATAAAAGATGAATAATTATATTCGTGTCATATCTTTTATTGTTTGAATATTCATAGATAATATCGTGTTAGAGTAAAATTAAAAGATCAATTTTCTTAAAAAAATTTCCCAGAAAACAAGACAAGACCACAAATTCCAAAGTTTTCCACGTAAAGTATCGAAGACGAAATTTCTTTCGATTCAAGTTGGAAGCAACTTTTTAAGATTCCACGTTCGTTCGATAAAATGGAAGGCTAAGTGTAGACTATAAATCGACTTTATGGTTTTAGTCGAAGAAACGGCGGATGGGTATCGAGTGAAAAGTTCGAAAATGCGGGATGTCGTTTATTGGTAAAACGAGCGTATGTGATCCTCAGGATGTAAGGGGGAGGAGCACGCTTCCGGCCGTGCAGGTACGCGCGGCGGAAGTGTCGGTTGAACCGGCACGGCCGCTCGTCATGGTGTGGCTTTAACCGAATAGCCGGCAAGATTTTCTGATTTCTGTCTGCTCGCAACCCGTGAAGATCGGAGAGATCCAAGTTTGGCTACGTTCACGGCAACACAACAGGTTATTGTATCCGCTGCTTTTACGTGGGAACGACCCCGAAACTGGCGCAAAACACAGCCCGAACTTGACATCGTTACGCTTTGAGCGTTTTATGAAATCGTTGTTACGCGTCCTGTATATAACCACTTTTCTTTCTTTTTTTACGCATTTCACGATTTTTAAATTGTCGCAATATGCGCGTTATTATTAATAACAAACCGATGATTCGATAGATGGATAGAGATGGAAAGAAATGTGAAGGAAATTTTTCATCGAGGTCGTTCAATTTGCGACTGTGTATTGTCATGTTAATGAACGGTGCTCGTTACCTAATTTTTAATTGTTTCTGTGTCGACAATGGAACAACTTCCTAATTCGGCGTAAAGGAACGTCGTGAATTAAGTAACGTTTATTTACACGTTTCATCTACCCTCGTTAAATTAAATTCTCTAACTTCGACGAAAGAAAAATTTTTTTCGTTGTCGTAACCACCGATCGATTTTTCCTTCGTATAAAAATCTGTATTGCATTCCTATTGCTTAAAGGAAGAAATCGTCGATTTCCTGTTTTCCTTCGAAAGTTATTGAAGAATCCTTCGAAAGTTGTAGAGAAGAATATGATTCGAAAAAGAGAAAGCGCTTGAGAGTCGGTTGATCGAACGTGCATCGACGGATGATTCCACGCGTCGTTATGCGATAACAATAACTCTTAAACTGAAACGCAGCTGTCCGTTCTTATCTCGAATTCGAGCCTAATTCCGTAAAAATAAAAAGGAAAAGAGAGAGGAAAAAACGGGGAAGCCCGATATCGATACCTATTCTAGCTCACAGTGCTTCCCAACCTTCCAACAGAACATTTACATTTCCCTCGATAATTACTTGCATATTTACCACTCTTTAAAGATGAAATGTTACATTTCATCAAAAACGAGAGTAGCGGTTTATTTTAGTTTGCCCGTAAAAAAGATGAGTCGGAAAAGAATATGAAATTTCGATCGATCGAGTTTCTATCCACCTATATATTGTATATTCCTATCTTGTGCCTTTATTCGTGGTAAATCATAACGCAAATTTCCATCCGTGAAGAGAGTAAACTACTATGGTGCGCCCTAGTAGATCATTTCTATTCCCGGAGAAAGAGAGGTTGGCTTTGATGTTCCTTGCGAAGAATAAAGAAAGAGGGCAGGCATGTGCCCACGCGTCAACACGATAACTCGTCGGACGCTTATTGCCCAATGTCTTTGACTCGAAGAACGGTCGTTAAGAATGGAACAAGGTTGGCGTTTTCAAAGAGTCGCGCGCGAGACGAAGAAGAAACGCGAGAAAGGAACGGCGGTGAAAGGGGAGGGGGTAGGGTGGGGAGGATGGCCGCGAAGGAGGAGGAGGAGTGGGGGAGGGAGAGGAGGAACGGCATCGCGGAGACGATCGTAGCCGAGAGAAGCCGTTGGTTGCGTCGCTTTCGGACGCAGGAAGTTGGGTAAAATAATGAAAGAGGTGGACACAAAGGAATGGGAAGCCTTGGTACTATCTACCTACCTATACCGGTAACGAAATAAGTCGACCACGAAATGACATCCGCTCTGCGTCGTGGCGGTGCGTTTCCTCTTGGCTTGGAAACCTTCCTTCCATCGCCTTCCTCTCCACCTGTCGTTGAGAAAGAATTTCGCCGAAGAATTCTTCGCCTGTTTGCCTGTTTCCAGAGTTTATCAAACTTTATCAAATTTTCGTCATCAAGTTATCGGACGGGGTCAAGTCGAAAAAGTGAAATGTGATTACGAGGGTTAAAGGTTTTTAAGGGTTTACCATCTTGATTCTCGGCCATGTCGGACTTAATTCTCCGCCCATGTTTGCAAATTGTCTCAATTGGACGAATACGTTTCGCACGAATCGGCTACGGAATTAGGATTGAATTGCGGTTTGCTACTTTAGCGAGATCATCATCGTCGTCGTCGTCGTCGTCGTTCGAGAACTCTTCTCTTCATTGGTCGAGCATCGTTGCTGAAGTTTCGATTATTTTGCGGATTACGGCTCGATTATGTATCTGTCTGTCTCTTTCTCTCTCTCTGTTCTTGAACAGAGAAGCTTAATAATGTTCATAGCATCGTTGCTATCCATTAGAGAAATTGTAGTCGAGGGAAGCATTCGAAGAAATGCCAATTTATAAAATTAGATGTTCAATCATGAAAGCTTTTGTATTTTCCTATCTTTTGTATTGAATATATCGATAAATTTTCTTTCTTCAATGGCC